CAAAAAACAAAACAAAACAAAAAATAGTCAATGGCTTTCTAAAGCTAAGTTTTATGTTTCTTTGTGACAGGGTCTCACTCTGTCGCCCAGGATGAAGTACAGTGGCGCAAACACGGTTCACTGCAGCCTCTGCCTCCCAGGCTCAAGTGATCCTCCCACCTCAGCCTCCTGAGTAGCTGGCACTACACATATACACCACCATGTCAGACAAATTAAAAAAAATTTTTTTAGAGATAGGGTCTCCCTATGTTGCCAGGCTGATCTTCAACTCCTTGGTTCAAGCAATCCTCCCACCTGAGTCTCCCAAAGTGCTGGGGTTACAGGAGTGAGCCACCGCACCTGGCCATCCCAATGTTTATAACAATAGCTCATAGAAACCAAGAAGATGGCAAGCCTTGGTGACAAAGTGTAAACAGTTTTCCTTTTTGTGTGTGTGTGTGTGACAATGTCTTACTCTGTCGCCCAGGCTGGAGGGCAGTACATGATCTTGGCTCCCTGAAGCAATCCTCCCACTTCAGTGCCCCAAGTAGCTGTGACTACAGGCATATGCCACCACGCCTGGCTAATTTTTTACTTTTTGTAGAAATGAGGTCTCACTATGTTGGCCAGGCTGATTGAACTCTTGGGCTCAAGTGATCCTCCCACCTGGGCCTCCCAAAGTGCTGGGGTTACCAGTGCGAGTCAGTGCACCCTGCCCGTACATTTCCTTCAACTGAGTCACTCTTGTTCTCTGATCTTGATTCATCCTGTGCCAGTCCCAATTAATAGGAATACAGTGGGTTTAGCAGGAAATGGCTAACATTGCCTTTTACAAAATGCCACATTAAAAGGTTTTCTAGAAGGCTTGACCCTATGGAGCCACGATTGAAATGTGAAAGTAAAATTTTGGAACTCCATCTTCTACCACATTTTATAATGAGTATAAATCTCTTTTCTCATTAGAATAAAAAGCTAAACTAATTTGAGCTTTATTTCATAAGAGGATTAGCTATTAATGAAGTCTCTGAAAGTTGGTTAATTTGCCTTTCATTCATTGATTAATTCATTCACTGTTGACAAAGTGAAAGCAGAACTATCCTTAATTTCACCTGTCTCTTCTCTCTCATAGGAAATAAGCCTCAGATTAGAAAAAGTGGCCGAGGGCAGGGTGCGGTGGCTCACGCCTGTAATTCCAGCATTTTGGGAGGCCAAGGCAGGTGGATCATCTGAGGTCAAGAGTTCAAGACAAGCCTGATCAACATGGAGAAACTCTGTCCCTACTAAAAATACAAAAATTAGCTGGATATGGTGGCGCATGCCTGTAATCCCAACTACTTGGGAGGCAGGCGGGAGAATCACTTGAACCTGGGAAGCAGACATTGCAAGGAGCTGAGATCTCACTGTTGCAGCTCTAGCCTGGGCAACAAGAGTGAAACTCTGTCTCAAAAAAATTAAAAAAAAAAAAAAAAAAAGAAAATAAAAAGAAAAAGTGGCTGGGTGCGGTGGCTCATGCCTATAATCCCAGCATTTTGGGAAGCGGAGGTGGGTAGATCACTTGAGCCCAGGAGTTTGAGACCAGCCTGGACAACATAGTGAGACCCCCATTTCCACAAAAAGTAAAAAATTAGTCAGGCGTGGTGGCATATGCATGTAGTTCCAGCTTCTTAGGAGGCTGACGTGGGAGGATCACCTGAGCCTGGGGTGATCAACCTTCAGTGAGCCATGATGGTGCCACTGCACTCCAGCCTGGGTGAGAGTGAGACTCTGTCTCAAAAAAGTAAGACTCCATCTCAAAAAAAAAAAGAAAAAGTAAAAGTGAAACAAACACCTAAAGCTACTGAAGCCCAAGGGGCAGGTGCTGATGGGATCACACTCCTTGCAGGTCAAGAAGAGAGAACATGCTCACCCTATTCTCTCAGTAATTAACAACTACAGTGAGAAATTACACAGAACAAACATGCCCCTCAGCTTTCCAAAAGGACAAAAGACTAACGTGGACAAATGGATTTTGCCTCTGAAAATTCCACCTGAGTTGTGAGTTCTCAGAAAAGAAAGCCATCTACTACGAGTTCACACTGGTTCAATGTCATACTAAACTCTACCAATGAGGGTGCAAAACTGATCAACTGGGGTGATGCCTTTCAGCCACGAGATACTATATTTTCACAAGATGTGTCTTGTGATGACAAAACAAACACAATATAGAAGTGCTGTCATCGCACCTAGACCATAGTAACCCCAAGAATGTCATAAAAAGATTTACGACTCGGATTAGGCACCTGTCTCATAGCAGGCCATACAAGTCTTGGTCCAGTCCCTTATGGCATATTAACATCATTATATCTAGCAGCCTCATAAATATTCCAACCATGCTGAGATCAATGCTTAATGTGAAGATTAAAAAATCAAAAAACGTCAGCTAAACACTGTTTAGTAAGGATGGATGCAAATTTGCAGCGAAGTTTAAGAACAAGGGAATCCTTTTAAACAAAAAGCATAAACCTTTTAAGTGGCAGATGGGTAATCGGACAATGATTATACAGTGAACATAAAGTGTTAAAGATGACTTTGGAGCTGTATAGAATAAGGCTGGATTTATGGAGACAATTAGATCATTGTATCTGCTTTATAGTGAATCTAGTGGTCTGAATTTTAGCCCCAGGTAAGAGCTTAGACTGAAGTCTATACCAGTTTGGGGTGGGGTGGTGGGGAGTGGGCTGTTTTGGGACAAGGACATGCCTGCAAACTCTAGTAAGCACACTGGGTATATTTCTGTGGCTCTTTATCTTTTGGTTTATCATAGCCAACCTCTTCTTTTTTCTTTTTTGAGACGGAGTCTCACTCTGTCGCTCAGGCTGGAGTGCAGTGCTATAATCTCAGCTCACTGCAACCTCTGCCTCCTGTGTTCAAGCATTCTCCTGGCTCAGCCTCCTGAGTAGCTGGGACTACAGGCATCTGCCACCACGCCCGGATTTTTTTTTTTTTTTTTTTTTTGTATTTTTAGTAGAGATGGGGTTTCAGCGTGTTAGCCAGAATGGTCTCGATCTACTGACCTCGTGATCCACCCGCCTCGGCTTCCGAAAGTGCTGGAATTACCTGCGCCCGGCCATATCCATCCATTTCTTAAACTTTGTGAGACAGTGGATTTACATGTTGTTGTAGGGAATAATTCAGGGAAGTCCTCTGCACCCTTCACTCTTCACCTGCCTGTTCCAATGGCAACAAGTTACAAAACTACGTCACAACCTGGATATGGACATTGATACAATCCACCAAGCCTTTTCAGATTTCCTGTTTCACGTGCGTTTAGTTCTGCTTAATTTAATCAACTTGGCAGACTCCTGTGACCATCACCACAGTCAAGATACACTTAACTTGATTCTGAGAGGCACATTCCTTAAGCCTTCGTTTTTTCTTTGAAAAAGAAAGAATCGCCTCGTTCTTCTAACTAAAGGCATTCAGAGACTGCAGTTGGAAGTTAATTATGGGGTAGTAACCACGTGCCCAGCGCCATGACAGGTGCCCAGTGGAGTTGGGACTCCGAATTCAATTGGCTGCATGAGACACCCCCCACAGAATGCACTCTTCTCACTTGGCTTCTGAAAAAAAAAACAGACCAAGGCTGAGATTTCTTGTCCCAGCTTGACAGTGGCAGAATCCAGTCCCGGGGACCACTGACTCTCTGCCCAGTGCTCTCCCGGCTTGTCCTGGTCACGTACTCCAGTATCATCACCACCTCAAAGGGGCGTGGATGGAGCTGCTTAGAGGAAAGAGGTGTTCCCCAGCGTTCAGCTCCGAAACAAACAGCAATGAAAACAGCTTTTTTGCAAAGCATGTAAATACATATCCATGCAGGTATTTTAGATCAGAGTTTCATGGAAACTGAAATGGAGCAGGAAGAGGTGGCACACGTGTTCTATCCGCAAACTTTCACCAATCCCAGACCACCACCTCCCCTTTTCGGGGATGTAAACGAGGGAGACTTGAAGACCGTGTCGCCCAGTCCTAGGCGTGTGAGGACAGCGTCTGGGAGGAGCGGCGGGCTGGCGCTGCGGGAGGCCCCTGCGGTAGGGTGGGAAGGCCCTCGCGGGAACCAGGCACTGTCCTTCTGCGCCCGCTTTCCGAGCCCCTCCAGAGGCCGGATCCGCGCCCCACCTAGGCTGCGGAGGGTGCCCTTATCGGTTCTCCAAGTTCGGAGTGTGAGGGCGCGCAAGGCCGCGCGGGACGGCCGGTCCCCTAAGCCCGGGGCGGCGGGCACAGCGCGGCGCTTCCGCTCTCACCTGCGCGGCCGTCCGCAGCCCGCGGTGCGCGGGAACAAACTGGGAGTGTCCGCGGGCCCCAAGACGGAGGAGGCCGGGGGCTCCGGCCACGCCACCCCGCGCCCGTCGCCTCACCTGCCGCCTCACCTGACCGGTACCGGCCTCCAGCCCGCGGACTGGAGCGCCCGGATCCTCTAAGCGCCGCCGGGCGCGGGCGCGGGAGGAAGGGCTGGACTTGGCGCCGCGGCCCCCGCCGCCGTCCCCGCCCCTGTCGGCCCCGGGGCGCGCGCTCCCGGACCCCGACACTGCCGAGCGGTGCGCGCGCCTGATCGCCCCTCCCGGCCCGCTCCCCTCCTCCGGTCGAAGGGTGAGACTACCGGGGCGCGCCCATCTCCAGCCCTCCCGCGTCCAAGCGGCCGCGTGGGTCCCCGAGCGCACGCCTGATCCAGCCCCTCACCCTTCGGACCGCGAGCCGGACCCCCTGCCCGCGATCTCCAACCCAGTTCTCGGCCCCGGCCGGAGCCTCGCTGCGCGAGCTCCAGAGCGCGACCGCCCCGCCCCCCGTCGGCCCCGCCCCCTCCCTCCCCCTTCCTCCCTCCCCCCTCTCCCTCTCCGTCCCCCTCTCTCCCCCTCCCTCCTCCTCCCTCCTCCTCCCCCCTCCTCCCTCCTCCTCCCCCCTCCCCCCTCCCTCCCCCGCCGGCCCCGGCCCCGGCCCCGGCCCGGCCCCGGCCCCGCCCCCGCGTTGCCAGCCCTCCGGGCTCCCTCCGCCGCTGGGCCGGCACTTTCTTTCCAATTTGCGGCGCAAGTTCTGCGGTGCCGGGAGCCTCCCTCGCGATCTGACCGCCGGGACTGCCCGGAGTGCATGGGCGCGGGCCGGGGGCGCTGAGCGGCCGCGCCATGGAGGGCGCCGAGCTCCGCGCGCGGCCGGAGCTCCTGGCCGAGGCCGAGACGCGGGCGGCCGACGGCGGGCGCCTGGTGGAGGTGCAGCTGAGCGGCGGCGCCCCGTGGGGCTTCACCCTGAAGGGCGGCCGCGAGCACGGCGAGCCGCTGGTCATCACCAAGGTAAGGCGGTCGGGGGGCGCGGGCGGTGACACCTCTGAGCCGGCCGCGCTCTGGGGCGCGTAAGGGTAGGGGCGCGGGAGGGGCAATCGGGCTCAAGCCCCCGGCTCTGGCGTGCGCGTCTGCTAGGAACACCTGCGGAGCCTGGGCGCCGGGACCGGCGTGGGCGTGTGGTCCAGGCGGTTCGGCGCGCCTCGCAGAGTTTAAATGGCTCCTGCTAGGAGTCCCCTTCCCCTCCCCCTCCCTCCTCCGGGCAGGGGCCTGGCCGGGTCCTCTGGCACTCCTGGGCCTGCCAGCGGCGGCTTGCACCTGCGGGGCTGCCCGGGGGCCAGGGTAGGAACGTGTCCCCAAGCCGTTCCCACCTGTGTTTGCCTCTCTGAGGTCCCTGGTTCCGCACCCCTTGGACCTGTGCCTCTGATAGCTACGAAACCCAGAATAGCAGCTGTTGCCAGCGCTTCTCGATTCCCTTCAGCCCATCAATGTTTACTGACTTTCGGCTCCCAGTCCGAGATCCACTTCGCACTGGATACCTGCGCAAACTTAGACAAACCTGAAAGCCTACTTGCTAAGAACAGGACCCGAGTTCTAATAATGAGAAAGAAATTCCAGCTGTATCTCATCAGGAATGTTGTGTATGTGTGGTTTGCTTTAGAACATTGAATTTTCTTGTCTCAAAATCCATCTGGAAGCTTACCAGTCGAACCTGTATGAACTTGTAAAAGCAAACACATAAACAACAGTCCAGTCGCCCTGTGTTCTCGTTAAAAGTGTGTGGTGGTCAGTTTCTCTGGGAAGGGTTGAGTCGGACCTTTCGTGTGGACGAAGTTCCTTTTAAAATGTAAAGATTCTTGGCGACTAGAAGCGTTTGAAGGTGATTTACTGGTTTTCTCTGTCTTCCTGCCTCTCCACAGCAGGAAGAAATTAAGTGATTCCTAACCCGCCCCACTGGTAATCAATTTGGGAAGTGGGATGGCTTTGTTGTTCAAATAGCAAATGAGACACCAACGTCTTCCATTCCGTATTTTCTCTCGCTTTTATGATTACAAAACTTTGTGGAGGGATTGGGGGAAGGCATTGTTTAGCTGTGCACTAAATTTTGGTTGAACTCAGGAAAGAGGTTGCCATTGTTATAAATTTAATGTGTAATATTTTCTCATATTGGCTCTTTGGAAAGATGGTGGACAGTCATAAAGTGTGTACACTCTGCCCAGTCAGAGCACTCTTCTTTTCTTTCTTTTTCTTTTCTTTTTTTTTTTTTTTTTTTTTTTTTTTTTTTTTTGAGGCAGGGTCTTGTTCTGTCATCCTCCTAAGTAGCTGGGACCACAGATGTATGCCACCATGTCTGGTTAATTATTTTTATTTTTTGTAGAAACGGAGTTTCATCATTTGCCCAGACTGGTCTTGAACTCCTGGGCTCAAGTGATCTGCCCTACTCTGTCTCCTAAAGTGCTGGCCTTACAGGCCTGAGCCACCGTGCCTGGCTCAGAATGTGGATTAATCCAAGCTTTGAATAGTCTTTTCCCAAAAGCTACTGAAAAATCACTGGGGCTCATTAAAAAATACTTCTAATAGTGTCATCCCTGTCCCGTGTTCCCCTACCTCTTAAAAAACCTTGTAATTAAATAGTTCCGTATTAGAGCCTTGGAATATTGTGCAACTCACTTGGTATTTAGTAGACTCTGATTTGGGGATAGCTTGCGTTAAGGTAAGAGGACACCTCTTTATGATAATGAGGGTATCATTTGAAAGCCTCATGGGAGTATGTGTCTTAGAACTGGGAGGGATATCAAGAACACGGCTGATTCGGTCCTGGTCTTCAGATGAAATTTTGTCAGCCCATTTTATAGATGAAACAGCTGTGGCCCAGGCAGGACAAACGGTGTGTCCTGAGGTCACAAACTGTTGAGTCCTGGCACTGGCCCTGGGAATCAGACTCTGGCCCTGGTGCTCATGCGTGCTGCTCTCCTCTAGTCAGTGCCATCTGCTTGGGTCTGGGATCTCCTGAAATGCCATAGTGAATACCCCCCTCACATCAGTTACGTGAGGGTTTACCAACCTTGCCATTGGGACTTTGTGAGCTGAATCTGTCTTTACTGTGGGACTGTTCTGTGCTGTTGAGGATGTTCAGCAGCCTCCCTGGCCTCCACCTGCTTGATGCCACTGTCACCTCTCTCCAGGTGTGACGACAAAAATGTCTGCAGACATTGCCAAATGTCCTCCGGGGGACAAAATCAGCCTGGTTTTGAATCACTTGTGTTAGATTAACCATATATCACCTTTGCTCTTAAAGGATTTTGCTTTTAAAACTTGTGTATGTTTTTGAAGACACTGGCCTTTAGGATGGTGTGTTGAGAGGCCCGTGGCATTGCCAGTGTTTGCATGGAGGGCTGTTTTCCTCCCACGAGATGGCCCTGAGAATAGGCTTTATTTACATAGTCAAACTCAAACAAATACTTGCTTCATCTGCATTTTTGTAGCTAGAGAAAGGAAATTGAAGCAGAAACTCCCAAGTGCTGTGTTTTATGAGCACCTACCTCAGCTGTTCAGGATCAGGACTGACTATTCTCTGGGTCTAGTTTGAAGCTAAAGGGATACTAACTTCAGAGGAGTAGCATTCTTGGAATTTGGGGTGCATGCCTGAGGCCCAGCAGAACCTCTGCTGACAGATGGCAACAGGACTCTTACTCCTCAGTAGGTTTCTGCTGAGTTCTACCTTGACATTTTGCTACAGTTGGTGAAAAAAATGCACTCAAACCTATTTTTTCATGCTGTTGTTAGAGAAAGAGCAGGAATAGTGTCCATGTTGCAGGAATCTACGTAACGGAAGTAGAGGTGGTGGATGTATGTGATCCTGTCGGTTTTTTGCATGTTTCTGTTCCCATCCATTCAACCAGTGGAAGTCTTCAGTGGGGGGAGGGGAAGGGACTGATTTCTAAAGTGTCACTAGAGTGGCTTGAATTCCACAAAGCTGTTTGGGGGACTCATTAGGAAGCGTTAAATATACCAGCTGGGTGTCAGCTGCCCCCTGTGGCCTCAGGAATGTTTGTTAAGGGAGGGAAGGAATGAAGCCCCAGCGTCTCCTGTTCACTATTTCTTAGAGCCTGCTCCCTCCCCCACAAAGAATGCCAGAAGCCTTAGCCCAAAGCTCCAAAGGAGACATTAACTTGGGCCTGGCTTAGCCCCAAGGGCATCTCCTTTGGGAATCCATTGATTTTTGGGTTGCCTTTGGGCACCAGAGCTGTCGTGTGGGACCAGACTGCTGTGGTCTGGGATGCTCGGAGGTCTGCCCACCTGACCCACCCACCCCAGGCTTCAGACCCTGAGAACATTTCTCTGGATAGGAGACAGAGCTTTGAAATATCCTTTCTAGTGTGAAATGCCAAAGACAGAATCAGGGCATACTTTGGGGGTTGCACAGCCAGGTAGCAAGTTTCCTCTGTGAAGTGTCAGCTGAGTCCTTGATTGCAGCGGCCACAGGGCTGAGACTGACTGGTGGCTGGTGATGGGCAGGAGTGGAGGCCACACGCCTCTGATGTGCCTTCCTTAGTGGTTTGGAAAGGGGGCTCCACTTTATGGCCCATGCCAAGTCACCTCTGTGACCCGAGGACCGGGGAGATCAGAGTGACCACCCCGGTCAGGATCAGTTCTTGTCCCATATGCCCCTATATTGGCTCCCAAGAGCCAGCCAAGCTCTCTGTGAAATATCAGTAGAGGTTCTGAAAAAGAGCAATCTGCAGAATTCAGCAGTGAGTCAGGAGCTGGTGGATCTCAACTTACGGCTGCTGGTAAATTTCTGTGCTCAGACATGGTGTGCGGTCAGCATCTTCCCGAGGGAGGGCTTCTGCTTCTCCCGGCATCTGAGAACCAGCGGGAGACAGCTTGGATCTCCCCTGCCTCTGCCATCTCTGGGTGATGTCTGAGTTGTAAAGTCTCACTTACTTTTTGATGCCAGCTACTGTGTTTTCTCCAGCTATTAGGATGGGTGTCATTATAAAGATCCATTTGTATTTAAGAATTAATAGTAAGGTTAAAAAAAAAAAAGAGGTGAGCTTTCTTTTCTATGCTGAAAGACTCTCAGTTGGTAGACCTGCCCTGCCAACTGGCTTTCAAATCTATCTTTATTACCTTTTCCCAGCCTGTGAATTAATGTGACCCTGCTGAATTCTCATCCTTGTTCTCCAGCGACGTTTTGGGCGGGGGTGTGGAGTCAGGCAGTGAGCCTCAAGTCCTATTCCAGGGTCTGCTAGCTGGAGGCTCTGAGGCTCAGCTCCGGGAGGATTTGTCCTCTCTCAGACATGAATTCAGCTTGACTCACACCTATGAATCCAGAGCTTTCTGCGATTATAAGAAGCTATAAACATAGGCTGTACATCTCACTTCTGTACCGGGATGTGTTCGGTCTTCATGGCTCAGTTATATTTCTTAACATGTCCTAACATTGATCTTTTGGAGAAAAAAGAAAAAGAAAGCTAGTTTGCCCAAGAGCTAAAGGTAGAACAGTGTGATAATGAAAGGCTCAGAACAAATAGTAGCTTTCACTTCATCCTAATGAGCTGGGGGTTTCTTAATCTACCTTTGTAATTCGTGGCCAAAGAAACTGGCTTGCCACTTGGGAAGGGCTGGCTTTTCTCTTTGGAAAGCATTTTGGAGTAGTCTGTCCCCTTGCCAGAGTTGTTTTGTATCAGCATGCAAATAAACCTGGATTTGTGGCCAAGTTCTTAGGGGCACAGAGGAAAGCTGGGGCTCTGTGGAACTTTCCTTCTCGCACACGGGGTGCAGCGGAACCATTCTACACCATGATGTTAGAGTGTGAAGGCTGAATGAACTTTTTATTCAGGTCTTCTTTTACTTTCAAGCACTGTAGTCAGGAGTGGGGCAATTCTTGAAGGAGAAATTCTGCAGGTTTCTGCAAGCCCTCTTCCTACACATGCAAGCTGAAAACTTTAACCCATATGAAGGATTTTGAAAGAGTTCTGGATTGCCTGTTGCTCTTTTAGGCCTTT